ACAATAGACAGGCTAATATAAATATCGGCAAAATATGCTTCATCTTGTGCCTGGAAAGTTGGAAGTATCGGTGTATATGTATACCTAACAACTAATAGAATTTGGTAAGTTTGGCTTCCTTATTAGTGGAATACATTCTCACTAGAACAAATTAATTATTTTTATAAATTTGTTAATTTTTATAGTTAATTACGAAAGGTACAACTGTGAAATTGGGTTTCGAACCATTTCGGAATAGTATAATAGGTTTTTGACATAGTCAATTTATGTAGGAAAATTAAAATTTTTTGAAAATCAGATTATGTTTTGGAAATCAGACTAATGTTTACCTAACCACTTTTGGAAACACCCTCGAAACGTTTTAATATTAAGGTCTTCCGAAAGATCTGAAGGTGGTCCAAATACCTTTTTTGATATTGCCAATTTCATAAGATTTCATTCAGTAAATAATGAAGAAAGAGCTTCTTGATGTAGTCCAAATAATGATATATTTCTGTTAATATCGAAAAATATGGAATTATTACTTATAGTCTCCATAAAGTATAGATATTCTATAAGATTCAAAAATAATTTAGCTATATCCGTTTGTCTGTCTGTCAAACAGTAGAGTCCAGGAAAAGAGAAGATGGGAGACGAATTTTCTCATAGAGTTCCCTATTGATCACAAATATTTTATAATGAAATATAATAAAATTTTACACAAGAAATTATGATATACCATCCGGTATATCAAGAAAAATTTGGACTTCTTGATATACTGGGTGATCCATATACTGATACCTTTCAAGGTCATGTTAATATTATTCAATATAGTATAAAGTAAAGTAAAGTTGCTCTAGTATAGATACTCTTGATACCCTACTCTAAAGTATAGATACTCTAGGCCCTTCTAAAACGATTTAGCTATATACGTTCGTCTGTCTGTTGTTGACACGATAACGTCCACAAAAAGAGAGGCTGAGAGACGCATTTTCGAATAGTGTTTCCTAATGCTCACAAATACTTCTTATTGAAAATTGGTCCACGATTTCACCTATCCAACCCATACAAATCTATCCTCGGATTATAATTTAAACTGCCATACTGAAATAAATAGGTTGAATGTGGAGCAATCGTGATCAAATTTTGCAGAAGTTACTTTTAGTAATCAGCCGTTTTGGTGATGATCCTTTAGACTATAGCTGTGTGAAACTTCTCACAACCTTAAAGATAATATCGTCCGTGAAACCCATTAGAGGAGAGCACGAATCATTAAACAAATTATGGAAAAAATTGATCTGACCCATTTTATTAAATACATTAATAAAAATACAGTTCTTTTACACTAATAAAACTGAAAATCTCTTCTTGACATAAGAACCCGATAAAAACTAGGATTTATTTTTATAAACCTACTCATAGTACTGCTTCTTGTCCCTTATTACAAAAGTTAATTTGATACTTTCCTCTCGATTTTTAGATTTTTTAAAATGGAGCAACAAATTCAAAATTCTTTCAGATTCTAAAATTTAGAATTAAAAATTTCGAAAACAAACCCAATCTTTTTTCAAAACATCATTATCACTGTATTCCATATAAAGCAAAACAAATATCTCTAAAAGTTTTTTATATAATATTATTATATAATTTACAAGTCAACTATTTATTTGTTATTAACATATACAAATGTATGACTTCTTTTTCCTCCGGATATATAACAAAATTTTCCGTTAGATGTCTATGATCGTTTAGCAAATATGGGTTGGATCAATGGCCGTTTCGGAGCCCAATGTCTTAAAATACCACCCGGCAAAAATTTTCTTGGAGGATCAGGTTTTCTCGGCATTGGTAATCGTGTTCTTTGTATAGGCATACGCATATCCATAGGTTTATTCATCATTGGCATACCCATAGGTCTATGCATAATAGGCCTATGCACACCTATAGGCCTATGCATATTCATAGGTCTATGTATAGGCATATGTGTACCCATAGGTCTATGCATCATAGGCCTATCCATATTCATAGGCCTATGCATATTCATAGGTCTATGTGTAGGCATATGCATACCCATAGGTCTATGCATATTCATAGGTCTATGTATAGGCATATGCATACCCATAGGTCTATGCATATCCATAGGTCTATGAATAGGCATATGCATACCCATAGGTCTATGCATATCCATAGGTCTATGCATATCCATAGGTCTATGCATATCCATAGGTCTATGTATAGGCATGTGCATACCCATAGGTCTATGCATATCCATAGGTCTATGCATAGGCATGTGCATACCCATAGGTTTATGCATATTCATAGGCCTAGGCATATGCATAGGTATATATAAAGGTTTATGTAGAGGTTTATATGAAGGTTTATGTAGAGCTTTATATATAGGTTTATGCCTAGGTAAATATATTGGATCATGTACAGGTACATATATAGGTTTATACGTAGGAGATTTATAAGTTTGTCCACTTGGTTGATAGAAATTCACGCTGGGATTTATTTGAAACAT